CTCTCTCTCTTTCTGTGTCTCAAAAATAAACATAAAAAATTAAAAATAAAAAAGTAATAAAATTACCCCCCTCCTCCAATTTTCCTCTGAAATACTTCTCAAATGGACGTCCTCCTCATGGCCTCCAGGTCGCTGCCCTAAGCTGAGAGATTTCTCTTGGCTCACCATGATGATTGGCCCCTCTGATTTGAGTCCCCCACTCAGCCGAACCTTTCCTATTCACCTTCTAGATCGTTCTAAAAGCTCATTTTGGTCCTATCAGTGCCTTTCTCCACAATCCTTCAACAGCTCCTCATTCTCTAGGGATAAAACGTGAACTCCCTATTACGTCCTGTTATGTCGTTCATGAGCTGGGTCTTTTTTACCAGTCCAGCCTCTTCTGCCATCTCTTGCTTATGAACTTGAGTCACAGAGCACACACTCTCCCTCTCTACTACCTGGCACCCGTGTTCAGATGATCTCCTGCCTGAAATGCTCATTACATGTGCAGAGAACGTTTGAATGATAAATTGCTACCAACTAGTAAAGGCTTAGTTCAAGCATTTTCTAACTTGTCTGTGCCACATCCCATCTCACTTCCCTTATGGGATTTTTCACACTATTACAGTGCTCTGTTTTTCAAGGTTATTGTCTTCTCCCAGGCTATGAGGTCTTGGAAGTTCTGTGCCTTCTTCACTTTCATATTCTTAGAACCTAGCGTAGGGCCTAGAACTTAGAAGGAGCTTTGAAAATTTTGTTCTTGTTGAATTAATAGGTAGAGGGATGTCAGTGAATCTACGGGAGATCAATGTTGTGGTGGGTTTTAATCAATTACAATCCTCTGGAATTTCTTGTTGACATATTGGCTTCTGACTAGAAGCCATTATTCAAATGTTGAAAACATTACATTTCCCATAAGAGCATCTGTTTTAGGCTGAGCATACATAGAGGGCTCTGGTAATCATTGCAGAATGTGATAAAGGAGGCCACACCCAAGCTCTGTTGGCTCAGAGCCCTCCTTACTATAGCCATGTGAGATACCATTTGAACGGGATTAGTCTTTCTCATTTCTTATACAGCACAGCCATTGACTTTTACATTTAAACAATGAGAGATGACTTCTCCAAGCCCTGATGACACAGCTGCTATGAGAGTTGCTCTTTCCTGTAAACAAAAATAAAATCATCGGTCAAAATACATAAGGTACCTATTTTCAGTCATTGGAAGATGAATGTCCCTGGATTAAGATCCTTGAGATAAGGGAAGTGTATGAGATAAGCTCCCCACATTCAATGGGCTCTCTGCCAGGGAGACTTTCCCAAGCATGGCACAAAGAGGTAGAACCCAAAGAGCCTGGCAGTCCTGCTGAGCTGAGGGGGCAGAGATCAGAGTCAAGGAATACTAATGTGGGGCGCCTGGCTGGCTCAGTCGGCCAAGCATCAAACTCTTGGTTTCAGCTCAGGTCCTGACCTCACGGTTCCTAAGTTCAAGCCCTGCACGGGGCTCTGCACTGGCAGCACAGAGCCTGCTTGGGATTCTCTCTCTCTCCCTCTTTCTCTGCCCCACCTCACTCATGCTGTCTCCCCCTCTCTCAAAATAAATAAATAAATAAATAAATAAATAGGTAGACAGATAAATAAATAAATAAATAAAGGAATACTAATGCAAGTAGAAAATTTCAGGGCAGGGTTCTAGAAAGGGTTAAAGTACATGTGGCAAGGGGGAGTGAGGAATGGTACAAGTGGCCTGTGTAGGGTTCTGCACGACCTTATTTAGCCAAGGGCTGGGCTGCAGATTTGCTTGGTGAGACGCTGAGTCCTTACAGAGAGAAGCTACTTCAGTATTAAGAATGGAAGGGACTGCCCCTCCCCCCTCTCATGCTCTGTCTCTGTCTCTCTCTTAAAAGTAAACATTTAAAAAAAGAAAAAAGAATGGAAGGGAGACTCTAGGGGTTACATAGTACTGGGAGACACTGAATTATTGTTATACCCAGAGTAGAGAGATATTATTAATGTCTCGTGCATGCTATTGGATACCTGTGAGGCCATTCCTTAGGAATAAGGCCCGTGATCTACAGCAGGGATCAGCAAACTACGGCCTGTGGACAGACCATATGTTTTTGTAAATAAACTTTTCTTGGAACACAGTCATGCCTAGTAACTTATATATTTCTATGGCTGCTTTCATGCTACAGTGGCAGAGTTGAGCAGTTGCAACAGAGACAATAGAGCTTACAAATCTAAAATATTTATTTGAAATATTTATATTTTAAGAAAACTTTGTCAATTCATGTGCTACAGTAAGGACAACTTTAGATTGCCCTAAGAAAGCCTAAAGTGAAGCTCCAACAGGATCGAGGAGAACATCTAGTATATTATTTGCTTGCCAGGGTAAAACTTAACACCTTTTAAACCAGACAATATAATCCAGCCTCCTTACAATGTATTATACATAATATTCATCAAATGACTAAGAAAAATGCTAACCATGCAAAGGAAAGGAAAATGTGACTCATAGTCAGGGAAAAAACAAAAACAAAAAAACAGGCAACGGAAAGTGATCTCAAGGTTACCCAGATGTTGTAAATAGCAGACAAGGACTTTACCATAGGTATTAAACGTTTGCTTAAGAACTTAGAGAAAACTACAGTCTTAATGACTACCAGTCATAAGAAAAAGAACCAATTGGGAATTCTAGAACTGTAATTTTAAAAAGCAAAAACAAAACATGGGGAGGCATAACAACACACTGGATTTAGAGGAAGAAAAAGTGAGCAACTTTGAGTACAGATAAATAACAATCTAAACTGAAGAACACAGAGAGAAAAAAAAAAACAAAAAGATTGAGATACATGGAACCCAAGTAGCTTGTGGGAGAATACTAAGGAGTCTAATATATATATATATATATATATATATATATATATATATATATTTGGTATCCCAGGAGGAAAACATAGCATATGAGAAAAAAAATAAACAAAAACAAAAACAAACTAAAAAAAAATTTTTTTTAATTTAAAAAAACTAAAAGAAAAAAAAGCCTTGAAGGAAAAATGGTCAAATAATTTCCAAATTTGGTGAAAAACATCCATCTATACATGCTAGATGCTGAGCAAACTCCAAGCAGGATAAATACAAGGAAAAGCCCTCCAGGGCACATCACAGTCAAACTTTAAAAACCAAAGATGAAGAGAAAATCTTGAAAGCAGCCAAACAAAAATAGCATGTTATGCAGGGGTGACTGCCAGCACAAATTTTGCCAACCTCTCATCAGAACAGCGGAGGCCAGAAGACAATGGAATGACACCTTTAAAGTGAAAGAAATAAAAAGGGTCATTGCATATGATTTTTTTATGCAGGGAAAACATTCTTCAAAAATGAGGATAAAATAAGAATGTCAAGAGAACAACATTACAAGAAATACTAAGGACTTTCTTCAACCTAAAGATGAGCAAATACAAGACAGAAGTTGAATCTACAGAAAAAAGTGCACAAAAAATGGTACCTATAGGGGTATATCATAAAATATCAGCTATTTTTCTTTAATTTCATTAGAAGACAAATAACTATTTACAACAGAAATAATATCCAATCTAGGGTTTATAACATATGTACAAGTAAAGTATAGGGAAAAGGATTAAGGGCGTGGTAACTGAAATTATTCTGCTATCAGGCTCTTGTGATGGTTAATTTTATGTGTCGATGTGACTGAACCATGGGGTGCCCAGACTGTGATTTCGGGGTGTGTCTATGAGGGTGTTTCTGGATAAGATTAGAGATGGAATGTGTGAAGGCAATTGCCCCCGCCGCAGTGTGGGCATCACCCAATCCACTGAGAGTCTGAATAGAACAAAAAAGCAGAGGAAGGAGAAATTTGCCCCTTTGTCTTCTGGCCTACCTGTTTGAACTGGGACCATCAGTCTTTTCCTACCCTCAGACTGGGATTTATACCATCAATTCCCCCTGGTTGTCAGGCCTTTGGACTCAGACTAGAATTACCCACCTGGTGTCCAGTTTACATTCAGCAGATGGTGGGACTTCTCAGGCTTCACAATCACATTAAGCAATTCCTCATAATAAATCTCCTTTTATATAAACATGAGTTAGGTTTCTCTGGAGAATCCTAACTAATACAGTTCTTATATTTATGATGTATGGTAAATGAAGTGGTATAACACTAATTCTAACTAGACTATCAAAATAGAGGAAGTAAAATAGGTAAGTAAAAGTATTCAGCCAATCCCAGCCTCACCACAAAAAGAAGAAAAAAGAACACAGAAAGAAACAATGTATAGGACAAATAGGAAACACATAGCGAGATGGCTATGTGTATGGTCTCAATAATGATACTAAATGTGAATGGCCTAAATATTCAGAGTAGAGGGTGTGCTAAATTGTATAGAAAAGCAACACCTTACTATCTGCTATCTGTGAGGAACTCATATAGATTGCCTATATTTTAAATAGAAAACAAACTGAGTAAATACTGCCAATAAATATATTTATACTCTCTCAAAACTTTTGTATCAATTTATTTGCTTGGCTTGTTTATGACTTCTAAATAGAGAACTAAAGTGTGCTGTATAAGTAGGTAGGTAGGTAGATAGATGATAGATAGATAGATAGATAGATAGATAATTCCCTCCTGCCCCAAACATGAATGAGTATATTATTTGGGATCTTTCTCTGTCTTCCAAATTCTTTTTTTTAATATTTATTTATTTATTTATTTATTTGAGAGAGAGACAGATTGAGAGAGAGAGAGAGAGAGGCAAAGAGAGGGAGACAGATGATCCAAAGCAGGCTCTACACTGTGAGCGCAGAGTCTGATATGGGGCTTGAACTCATGACCATGACATCATGACCTGAGATGAAATCAAGAAATGGCCTCTTAACTGACTGAGCCACCCAGGTACCCCTCTGTCTTCAAAATTCTAATAACTCCTTTGTGGCAGCCCCTCAGCCCAACATAATATTTTTGTAGTTGTTGTTGTTTACATGTCTTATCTACCTTCCCAGATTATAAGGTCACTGAGAGTTCCAACACTGAATAAATATTTGCTGAGTGCTTATTATGCCAGGCACTGAAGATACAACTGGGAACAAGTTTCACCAGAAGCTTCCAGACTAGCGGAGGGACTCAATAAGTAAGCAGGCAATTACAATAAAATTATTATAAATATGGTAGATAGTTCATAAATAGATGACAGAATAAAGGAATGGGCAAATTTCCCCCATTTAGAAGTTTCAGTTTCCGGATTAAGTCCAACCAGAGCCTGGGCAATCTTCAGACATCTCCATGCAGTGGCAGCTAGCAGAGAACAAAGTAAAATATTAAGCAGGAACTAAAGCCCTTAATAGGATTTGCCCTGAAAACTTGGCATTTCATAAGGCAACAAAGTAAAGGCATTCTATCCTTTATTCCAATCGAGTGCTAGCAATATCTTTCAAATGCATCATATGAATGATAATGTCTTTGTTGTTCTTTAGCTTTAATTTAATTGTAAAGAAATGTGGTATCATGTTTTGTTCCATGAAGAGGGAAATAATCCGTGCATTATGCCAGCCAATAAAAACAACTCAATATGAGGTCTAAACTTCTGATTATCTCCATTTCCCTCAATTCTGGTTCTTTTTTGGAGGATTTGGCACTAAATCAAGCTTGAAACTTAATGCAGGTCTTATATAGCATTGCTACTATTGTTCATGTTGGAGGTAGGTATCCAGCAAAAACTTGAAAGAACTCCGATTCATCATGCTGTGGCTTTGGCAATAACCAAATTGCAAGAATTCAATATCACTTCCTCTAACAGTACCCAATGTCATAGCCTTCTTCTTATTATTATTATTTTTTTTAATGTTTATTTATTTTGAGAGACAGAGAGACAGAATGCGAGTGGGTTAGGGGCAGAGAGAGAGGGAGACACAGAATAAGAAGCAGGCTCCAGACTCTGAGCCATCAGCACAGAGCCCGAGGTGGGGCTTGAATGCATGAACTGTGAGATCATGACCTGAGCTGAAGTCGGGTACTTAACTGACTGAGCTACCCAGGTGCCCCAGTCTTTTTTTTTTTTTTATTGTTATTTTATTTTTTTTGAGAGAGAGAGAGAGAGAGAGAGAGAGCAAGGTGGGGGAGGGGCAGGGAGAGAGGGAGAGAGAGAATCCCAAGCAGGTTCCATGCTGTTAGCAGAGCCTGAAATGGGGCTCTAGTTAACAAACTGTGAGATCATGACCTGAGCCAAAATCAAGAGTCAGACGCTCATCTGACTGAGCCACCCAATGTCATGGTCTTACAAGGGAGAGACAGAGGCAATCAAACAATGCAGAATGTGGAATCCACTCATCTAAGCCCACAGCCCTGAATATTGTAGCAAGGGTATGTGGCTAACTCTTAAGAAGTCAACTAGCCTTTGTCAACTTTTAGCAGGGCTGTTTGTACCTTGTCTCAATGGAGACATTCTGTAAGCCTTTTTTGTGGTACGTTCTTCAATATAGCAAGCACTATCCTTTACTGATGGCCTTACCCACCCACCCACCCATCCCTCACCCTTCTATGCCAGCCTGCCTGGATTTTGTTCAACTGTTCATTCCTTCAGCTTGTGACCAAAGGGGGATGAATACTGATTAGTCTCACTCAATTGTATAATTGTGTGTATAATAAGTGATTGGCTTAGAAAAGGACATGTGGCCCACTTCTTACCAATGGGATGGAAGGGAAGTCTGAGAAGGGAGAGGTTTCAAGGAAGAGTTTCCTTGTAACTAAGAAGAGCTAGAAAGCGGAGGCCCCTTTCTGCCTCATGGCGATGGGTCTGTCTGCGACCCCTGAAGCTGTGGCAGTCATCTTTCAAGTGCAAGACGAGTTGGATAAGAACAAAGATGGTATTAAAAGATATGCTAAGATTGACAAAGCCGTCAGAAGGAATCCAAACCCTGGAAGACCATTTCTAAACAAAAGAATTAATCACACCTTCATTTCCTTATCCCAGGTCATTTTATTGTATGACTTTATAAACTTTTCTTTTTTTTTTAAGTAGTTTTTAAATGTTTATTTATTTTTGAGAGAGATAGAGAGACAGAGTGCGAGCAGGGGAGGGGCGCAGAGAGAGAGAGGGAGACACAGAATCCAAAGCAGGTTCCAGGCTCTGTCAGCACAGAGCCCAACACAGGGTTCGAAACCACAAGCCATGTGATTATGACCTGAGCCGAAGTCGGACACTTAACTGACCCAGGAGCCCCTATAATAAATCTTTCTTAATAAGACCATTGTGTCATGATTTTCTTTCCCCTGAGCCCTAAGGGATTCTGATACAATTCTCTTGCTGTCCATTTCTAGGATGAGCACTGATTCAGGATTGTAAAGGACCAAAGATGAAGAGGGGCTCTGATGAATAACATGTGGAGGAAAAAAGATTTAAATTACCATTGAACTGAAATCTAATGGTAACATCCAATGGTGAACTGTGACATCACCCCAAAAATGTTTTGTTCATTTGGGGATAATGCACCCAGTTAGCATCCCCAACTTTGCACCAGAACCTACAGGTCACTAGGCAAGAATAGAGTACAAAAGTTGAATCCTAAAGCCATGTAATTTCAGTAGGCCAGGAGCTGGTGCAAACTTCCAAGAGGGTAACCAGATTCCGCTTTTATCTCCTTAAGTTTCAAGAAGACACACTTCAGTTCAAAACTTAGCCTGATATTTGAGAACTAATTGCTTTGCTGTCCTTCATGCATAATAATGGCATTTTTAAATCAAAATCTTCTGTTCTCAGCCAATATAGTCTAAAGTGAGCAGCAAAGTTAGTTGTGAACCAAGCAATAGGACAAGACCAAATAGGTAATTCTGTAACTGTTTTTTTTGTTTTAATACAATCAAATAAATTCACTCCAACAGGCATTACAAAGTTGCCTATTATGTGATCAGTATAATGCTAGGTCCTATTACTGTGTGATTAATATAACATCTGAACACAACCTCTTGCTTTCAGAATTGTTATTGTTGAGAGGGAAAGAGGAAATAGGTCTGTGTTTAATAATTATAACTGGAAAGAAAATGGCAGTGTTATACTATAGTTCATTCTACATACCTAAGTATGAACAGAACAATGACTAAGTGATTGGTCATGAAATGTAATTGGTCAGGGAAAATTTTTGGAGGGTTAAGTGTTGAACCTGCAAATGACGTAGTGAGTATGGATTGAAGACCCAGACCTGGGCAGGAAAATCCATTTGGATAGGTACTACTAGAAGCAAAGAAAGCCAGGCACGGAGCAAGCCAATGGAGCGTCTTGCCTTGGTCTGCCAGGATGCTAATCCTCAGGGTAAGCAAACCCCTCTTGCTTCCGATTCTCTATTTTGCAGCTGAACCACTTCTAGTCTCTCAAATATAGCCCTGCTTGAGAGTATCCTTTAGTCCTTAAGAAGAGGGTTCCATATATCCTCTGTCTTTAAACCTCTTTATCTGCCCTCACTTGTTTACCTGAGTCTGCTGTTCCCTTCCCCCCTCATTCTCTCCCTGATACAGAACAAAACAAAACAGGGGTGCCTGGGTGGCTCAGTTGGTTAAGCATCTTCATCTTGGCTCAAGTCATGATCTCATAGCTCTTGAGTTTGGGACCTGCATTGGGATCTGTGCTGACAATGCAGGGCCTGCTTGGGATTCTCTCTCCCTTTCTGTGCCCCTCCCCAACTTGCTCTCTCTCTCTCTCTCTCAAAATAAATAAATAAATAAACAAACAAACAAACTTAAAAAAAACACCTCAATGTCCCGTCTTCTGACAACCCCAGCTTCATGGAAAATTCCATGGAGGCTTCATAAAGGTATCATGTAGTTTTGTTTTTGAAAAGATTCATAAATCCATGGACTATTCTTTTAGGAGCTCAACTAATCATATCCATACTATTCCAATTTCAGGGTATGGTTGACCAGGCAAGTACTCCATGATTTTTTTTTCCACAATTTAAATAACTTAGGTTGTTAAAAAAAAAAAAAAAAAACAATGAACAAAACTACACAGCAGAAAAAGAACTCAATATGTCCAGGGACGGATAAGGAGGATTTAAGTGCCTAAAACAAAAAATGGCCACATTTTGAAATACTGAAATGTGAGCCCTGATATGGAAGTAATATTTACTAATATATTGTATACATAATTTTTTTCCCATTAATTCTCAATACCAACATATAGGAATAATATAGCCATGAGGAAATTGAGGCTTTATAAGGTTGAGGGCCTCGCCTAACTGGGCACAGCTAATAAACGGTAAAACTCAGAACCCAACTTATTTCTCTCTGACACTGAAATCTATACTTTTCTCCTCATATCTCTGCCTGGCAAGAATATAGTTATCAGAAGCCTCAAATTTCCTCCTGACAAAGAGGAAAAAACAAAATAAAACAACTCCACTTGATCAAAGATGCCAAGGAAATTTCCAGAGGTAGCACTTAGTGGAGAGTGCTCATGAAGTACATTTTCCCATTTCTATATAAATTATATACTCAAAGCATTGCACTCGAGACGTGTTAACATTTTCCCAGACATGACCAATGGCCAGTGTCATTTCATAATTTTGCAAGGTAGCGCAAGACCATTCTTCACATGCTGTCCTCCTCGTACCCAATTTCTTTCTCATGGCTTCTTCACATCTCAAAATTTTTTTTTCTTTTGTTAGGACAAGAGGTTCTCTAAGACAAATACCTAAATTTACCAAATAGTCTTTAAAGTTTGATGCTTTATCACCATAACAAAGCATTGCCTTCAAACATGCTTATCTTCTTTAAAATCTACTACTTACTTGGTGGTCAAAAGGGGGGCTCAGAGCTCATGGATAAGAGCCTACCAATCTTCCTTCTCCAGGATGGCCAAACCCATGTGTACATCTGCAAGCTGAAACTAAAAAAGAACTACCCATGTGCTTCAGGGTTTGAGGAGTAGCAGCAGAGTTACGGACAAAACCGGCATTTACATACAGTTACCATCAAATGAATTAATGGCAAATTAGCATCACTTCTCTTGAGTTAGCAATTCAGATGTTTGATTCTAGGGCCATATCAATTTACCACAGATCAACCTATGAAAAACTATTCCAGAAAGCTACCGGCTCCAAATCAAACTCCAGGAGCAATTAGGAAGAGAACAAATGGAAGCATTTGTATTTCAGGAAACAATTTCTGGTCTGTCCCATTTGCAAACACAGAGGCAGCAAAATAGAATCTTACAGAGATCTGATGGGGGGGGGGGGGGGGCCGGGGGGAGAGGCGGAGGCGGGACCAGGAAAAAAAAAGCAGTCTGGGTACTGGACCCCCTGCCGTTGGTCAGATTCAATTGCTAAGTCTCAGGAAACCCTGAACTATTTCTCCTGGAAATTAAATTGAGATTTGAAACTAATGAGGGGCCAAAGCATAGAAGAGTGTTGGATAGCATGTGTAGCTAATTATTTCATTCACAGGGGCCAAAGAGACGTTTCCATGCAGCCTATAAACTAGGGATATTAATCCTAAAAGCTTGGAGGAAAAAAATTAGGATCCCATCATAAAACTACAGATATTAAATCTGCTGATAATGACTCCTCACCTTTCTAGGAGGTTACATTAAGGCCAGATAGGAATTTTCAGTCTCAGTGAGGGTCAGTCTGACTCCTTTGTGAAAATTTGGTCAGGAACAAAAGCTGTAACCTGGGCCAGTCCCAGACTGCCCTAAATATTTTCATGTAAGCATTCAGTGTTCCGTGGGTACTGTTTTATTTTCATAGATAAGTTCTTTCCCAAGCAGGGGGAGGAAGTCAACACTTATTATCAGGAACCGTGCTATCTAGTCAGTCAAGTAACCACGTTTGGGCACCTCCTATGTGCAAAGTCCTATCTCATTACCCTTGTGGCAGTGGCAGGCATGGGGCGAGGGGGGGGGGTGGAGGTGGGGGAATTTGGGGCTCCGGAGGCCAGAGATTAAGAAAATAGGGACACGAGTTTTACTCTCAAAGAGTTCCCAATCAGGTGGTATTCACAATACAGGCTTTATCCTTCTGAAGGGTATACAATAAAATAATAATCTTGGCCGTTTTTTCCCAAATCAGGCTGAATCTAAGCATCACTGGTAAAGCCTAAAAATGAAAACCAAACAAACAAAAGTTCTGGGTTCCATCCTCAGACCCTGCTTCATGAAGTACAGGCATCTTCTAAGTTTCCCCTGGTCATACTGATGAGTAGCCAGTTTTGTTTAATACCTAATTTACCCAGCATCAAATATCTGGAGCAATGGTAAAATTTGAAGGAGTAAAAAAAAAAAAAAAAAAAAAAAACTATTACTATTTTTATTTCTTCCTGATAATTGTTAACATTTTGAAAAGTCCAAATCTGGAGGCGTAGAAGTAAACAAAGGTAAGGTCCATAAGGATGGCAAACCCACAAACACTTAGCAAATATAATTGTTTATGTGGAAATTAACATACTGCACACCGTGTGCTGAAGGGGCAGGCAGTATGCATCCAGTGGGCACAATGTAAAGAAGCCATCAATAATTGCTAGCCACCATTGTCATTATCACTATGCAGACTGCATTGAGCAGGGAACCGCAAACTTCTTCCACGAAGAGCCAAAGAGTACATATTTTAGCCTCTCTGTGCCATAGAGTCACCACCACAACTACGCAACTCTACGACTATGTTGAAAAGACAGCCACAGACCCCACATAATTGAACGAGCATGGTTGTGTTCTGATGAAACTTCATGGAGACCGGAGTTTGAATTTCATAGATTTTTCACATGTCATAAAATGCTATTTCCCTTTGTTTTAAAATTTTTTTAAATGCTTATTTATTTTTGAGAGAGAGATAGAACATGAGTGGGGGAGGGGTAGAGAGAAAGGGAGACATGAAATCCGAATCCCAAGCAGTCTCCAGGCTCTGAGCTGCCAGCACAGAGCCCGACCTGGGGCTTGAACCCACAAACTGTGAGATCATGACCTGAGCCGAAGTCAGAAACTTAACAGATGGAGCCACCCAGGTACCCCTTCCCTTTTGTCTACTCTTTTCAACCCTTTAACCCTTTCTTAGCTTGTGTACCATGCAAAAACAGGCAGTGGGCAATTCAGTATTGTTAATGACAGACACTGTGTTCTACAGAAGATCCCTAGAAGGTACTCTTCTTCCATAACCAAAACTTATTTCCATTAAACGCCTTCCCCTAAAAATGTGTTAAGAGGATAGATCTCACATTAAGTGTTCTTCACCCCAAAGTACAAAAACAAAACGAAACAAAACAAAACCAAAACAACAAAAAAAACCCCAATGGGACACAAGGAAACTTTTGGGGGTGATGGATGCGTCTATCACCTTGATTGTAGTGACAGTTTCGCAGGTGTGTGCTTATGTCCAAACTCATCAAATTGTATACATTACATATGTGCTATTTCTTGTATATCAATTATATTTCATGAAAGGTGTTAAAAAGACAAACAATCTGTGGGCCTGATTTGGCCCCTAGACCTTAGTTTGCCAGTGACCGGTCTAGAATGTAACCTGCCATTCACGGGGAGGTATACAAAGCAACAGCTGAGGATCTTTTAACTTGCACACGGGATCTGGCATCTGTGAACACCCGGTCCCCCGGGGGAGCCCTGGGCCTGTGCGCGTTAAGGATGCACCTGCCATTCAGAGGGAAAACCTTGCCATATTTAAAGGTTTTCCCAATCCCTGCTGCAAAGAACATCTGATTTTCAGAATGATGTAAATCCCAGCTTTGCCGGCCAGTAAATTCATGTACATCGTGTTAACATCAGGTTTATATTAAACATTTACATTAAGGATTGGATTGGAAGATTAAATTGTTTGCATACGTCGCAGCCCCGAGGGAATGCCCCCCCTTCCCGCTTTCTCTGCCAATGGCATTGAATTGGTAGCCCGTCCAAAAGGTGTGTGAGACAATAGCGTATGGTCCTTGGTGAAGCTGGGCAGCCTTGACCACGCTGCCCGTGTCCTTAGCAGTTGTCAGGCAAGCTATGAGACATACTGTCACCCCCCACGGGGAGAGGATTAAATAACAACACTGAAGATAATGATTTGCTCCAACCTGAATATCAGAATTGTTGTCTTTTCCCCCTAACACTGGTATTTTCCGATCCACAGAGTCATAGCTTTTTTGTTAGTTTGATTGAAATCAGTCAAATGACAGCACTGGCTGTTGTAGGTTGGGGACATTTGGTCGCGCAGCTTAAATACTCTGCAGTAGACCGCGCTGGGGAGAGACCGAGGTGGTTCTAAGTCGGGTTCCGAAGGACCACTGTTGTCTCTTGAGTCTGAAGTCCAGAGCTGGAGAGACTGGACACGGGAGGAGCTCAGGTTTGCAGTCTCTCTTGGACCAGCTCTCCCTGCCATGAATGAAGAGTTGCCCAGGACACTCTAACCAGCAAATGGTCTGCAGAACAAATGTTTTTGTGGGGGGGGAGAAACAACCACCATGGACTCCAAGTGAAGTGGCTGGAGGAGAGTGATGTTGTTAAAGTGTATGATTCATTAAGTCTTGTCTGAATGTCAGATGTTCAGCGTTCGATGCCATTGCCTCCAATTTAAATCATTTTT